GCGGGCAGGAGGGTGAGGGCGGGGAGGGGGAGGGATAGAAGAGGGGCGGAATGGAGCGGAGGGGGGAGGGGGAAGTAAGATCAAGGAAGTGGGGAGCAGATAGAGGAAGGAAGGAGAGCACAGGGGAGGAAGCAGGGCCAGGAGGAAGCAGAGGACGGGTCGTGAGATACCAAGAGAGACGGAAGCAGAAGGGGAAAGACAGAGCCAGAGGGAGGCCAAATAGAGAGACAGACACACACACACAGAGACAGAAACAGACGAGGGGAGACCAGACCGCGTCAGAGAGACAGAGCAAGAGAGAGTGGAGGAGAACGACAGAGATAAAAACACTGAGCGTCCAGGGAAGAGAGAGAGAAGAAATAAGGAAGCATGGGTACACTGGGGCCCCTCTCACCATAGGTGAATGGGTCATGTTCCTTTGGACTTTCTGGAAAGAGAGAGAGAAATCAGGGGTTCAACACTTCCTGGGATCCTGGACAGGGAGGGTTTTAAAGAGACGCTTTGGGTTTCTGCTTCTCTGAGTTTGGGGTCTGTGCAGGACAACTGCCCACCCTCCCTGATTCCTAACTGCCCCCCTGCACCATCCCAGGCAGGACGGAAGACCTAACTGCCCAGCCCTCTGACCCATTACAGGCCTCTGTGATCCCATGCATCAGTCAGGGAGCCAGTCTCCATCCCAACCCCCACCTTTGCTGACCTGGGGCATCCTCTCCCCTCCTCCAAATGCCAGCCTGCGACTGGATCCCATGTGGAGACCCCCCATTTCCTGTACCCTAACTGACTCAGTTTAGATGGGAGTCTCCAACTTGCTTCTGTTTCTGGGATTTCCCCTTCCCTTGTCACTCTTGGGGCTGAGGTAGGTAGGGGGCTGCCCTCCCCCCCCCAGACTCACCTGCCTTGGCAATGGCGAGGAGACCAGCACAGAGAACCAAGATGTGGCCAAGAGACGTCATTGTCCTGGGAGGACACCAAGCGTCAGGAAATGATACCCTCATTCTCCCCACCACTGGGGCCTGAACCCAAGGAACTGAGTCAGACAGTCCAGGGATTTAATCACAAAAGCGTTCGTCCTCCAGCTCGGTTGCTCCGAGAAACAGGGGTACCCCCAGCTTCACAGGGGCACAACATAACCAAAACAATCTACACAGGGGAGCTCACACAACATCGCAACACTGCAGGGGCAGGGGTGAGACATACACGGTTCACCGGGTCCTCCCCCCAGCCTCCACCTCCCACAGCAGGCCCCCAGTTCCTCAAACCTACCCTCACAGGATAGGGCAGGATGCCGCCTCACCCAGGTGGAGACACAGACACACTCTGGGAGACACACCCAAGTCCCACCTGCCCACACGCCACGGCCTTGCTGTGTCCCAGGAAATCCCAGCGCTCCTGCCCTCCCCTGCCTGCCCTCTCTCAGGCTGACCCTGGGTATAAATATCTCCCACTTCACCCTGGAGGAATTCGCCTCGCAGAGGCCACCATGGCAACAGCCTGCATTCCCCCACTCGGGGGGTCACGCACAGCCCTGCCAGGGCGAGGCCAGCCTGCCACATCACCACAGGCCGCCCCTCTGGGAAAGGCCACCCCTTCTCCTGCCCTGGAAACAATGAGAAAAGGGAAAAACACCCTCTGGGTGACATCTTTCACAATAGGACTCCGGGGAAGTGACATGCGGCCCAGGCTTATGGGCCTGAGACAGGGGACAGATGTCAGGCAGGGATGAACACACACAGCCACACACACACACACACACACACACACACACACACACGGACACACGGTGGGGCTGGAATGGAGATGAGACAGCACCCTGTCCCCAGACTTCTGGTTGCAGCGGGACTTGGGGTGCAGACAGCATAAGGCACACGATACTCCTCATTTGGGCCTCTGGCACCCCCAAACAACGACGCAGCAGGACCTGCACAGTTGCGTGTCCAAACCCCGCACCCCTCCAGAGTGCACACGCAGCAGCAGGGAAGGCTGTGTTGCACCCACATCCCCACCCCAATGTCCCAACCACTCTTCCTCCCTCTTGGGTCGGGCCTGCCTGGGAAGCCACGGGCTGGCCACTCCTGCTCCCAAAATAGGCGACCCAGCCAGGCCAGGGCTGAGGCCTGGAGGGGAGGGGTGGGGGACGCTCACCCCAATCAGGCTGTCCCCTGCTGAAAGAAGGCAACCAAACGTCCTGCTGTGCCCTGGGGGCTGAGCACTTTGGACCCCCTGGCCCAGAGCTGGACGCACCGCCCCCAGCAGGCTCCCCTCCCAGCCCCACCCCGCCCTGGCCCTCCCCAACCAGCAGCTGTAACTGGAGCCCGCTGGAGGGGGGCCAGGGGGCGGCCCCCAGCCCAGACCGCCCCAGCCCGCTAGGTTAACTCTCTCAGCTCAGATGGAGGAACAGCAGGCAGCGGGCGTGTGGGAAAGACAGGGAGACCGTGGAGGACAGGATTGTGGTGAGATACACACACACACGCACACACACACACACATGCACACGCACACGCACATGCACACGCACACGCACATGCACACGTGCCTCCAAGAGCTTCTGAGCTGGGGCGGGAGGGTGGGTGTCAATGATTTTTGCGCTGCTTCCTGGAAACTGGGCCCAGCCAGGGCCTAAGGTCACCCAGCCCGAGTGCCCAGAATCCCACCGATCCCTGACTCCAGTGATCTGTGGAGCTCTGGATAGTACCACAAGGCTGGTCTTTTTTTTTGGGGGGGGGGGGTTGTATGTTGTGTGCTGTCTGCTGCTGACTGTGAGGTCCCTGTGCATGCACCAAACCTCAGAAATCTAAAGACCCAGATACACAGGCGCAACGCCAGACAAATACTTGTATGTACATACATAGAGGCAGACATACCCAGGATAGCACACCCACAGAAAAACTCAAATACCTGGATCCACAGTCAGCACCTTTTATGCTAGCCATAAAACACCAAGAAAAACACATCTGTGTATACACACACACACACACACACACACACACACACACACACTCATTCAGGGGTGTCCACACAGAGACAGTCAAAGCTATAGCCACACAACTGTCCACACTTACAAATGGTCACAAAGAAACACACTTTAATGAAGATACACTCACAAATGGCCATACAGAAACACACCAATGCACACACACACCACACAAATACATTCAAAGATACAGGCACTACCATGCAATCTCAAAGATACGAAGGCCAACGAACTTGTGTACACACCACATTTCCATGGGCACAGATACACAAGCAGAAACACTGTCAAGGACACCTCCAGACAACCAGCCACTCTTACACGTAACCACAAAAACAGACACACACATGTGCTCACAACCCAGGCACGGGCAAACAGGCACACAGCTGGCCACAGACACACAGACCTATAGGCCAATACAGACCCAACTTTCCTTTCCTGGAGCTCATGTGGCCTCTACCACTCCTGGAGAACAACACACCCAGAATCCTCACGGGCAGACCCAGTTCACAGGTCCTGGTGACAGAGAAACCTGGAGTCAGATTTGGGCTCTGCAGTCCTGGCAGCGTGAACTTGGGCAACTCGTATGACTTCTCGGTGCCTCATTTTCCCATGCCACAAAATGGAGAAATCACTAAGGTCATTCGTGTAATCCTGGGCCGGACTCAGAGGTCTCTGAACCCGACATTATCTTATTATTAACTCCATTTTAAAGATGAGAAAATCAAGGTTTAGCAAAGCGGAGCTAATTCTCCTGAGGTTCCCCTAGTGATTACCAACAGAAACTGCTCCCACCCTCAGATGGTCAGACACAGGTCCCAGCATCACACTCCACAGGACACAGAATCAGGAGCAGTTGGACATGCTCGCATCCAGGCACAGGTGTACCTGACACACACAGACGACCCAGGTGGCTTCAAATGGCTCCCTCATCCCTGTGTGTCTCAGCCACTCAGGCTCGGCCCCTGCTGTACCCCAGGGTCACCAGCAGTCCCTGGTTAATGATAACCCAGATGTTTATGCAGCACGGGGGAGGGGGTCAGGTAGAGCACAGGGGCAAACGAGGAGGGGGCTCCTGGCCAACTCTTAGCCAATCCGGCTCCCTTCTCTCAGGGGGTTGACTCTGGAGCACTAACTGCACCGCCATGGAGCGGCTCAGCACTTTCTAGCGGTGTGACATTGGGCAAGTGACTTACCCTCTCTGTGGTTTAGTTTCTCCATCTGTAAAATGAAGATAGTGATAGTATTCACCTCAGAGAGAGGTTGGGATGATGATTTTTTAAAAAATCTGTGATAAACAATGAAAACTGCCTGGCACACAGTAAGTGATTTTTTAAAAGAAAGTTAGCTATTATTATCATTATTATTATCATCTTTCTCATCCTTCTCATCATATACTGGAGTAAAAATCCTGCTGTGCTGAGCTCTCCATGGCTTGGGTTCAGGCCTTTGTCCCCTCTGTGTCTCTGGCACTAAGATCTCTAACTGCCCTTTCAAAGATCCTGTAAAGAAGTTTCTCACACCTGCCATTCAGCGGAGGAGATGGAGACCTGCAGGACACTGCTCAGAGCCCAAGCTGTTCAGGTATAGGTCTAGGACCTGGAGTCCACCCCAAGCCTGCCAACCACTGCGAGGCGCCCACCCTGAGCTGAACCGCAAGAGGATAAGTTGCCACCCTCATCTGAGTCCTCTTCACATCTGGAAAGTGGATGCCACGACTGCCTGGGAAACTGAGGACCGGTTGCCTTGATGTCACAGAGGACTGGGCTGCGAACCCAGATCTGTGTGATCTGAGTTGGTGCCCTTAAGCCCGCTGTCCTCCCTGAGGCTTCTGGGAATGGGGACCAGTGGTGAAGGAGGCTGTGTGCATTCTTCAGTCTCAGGGGCGAGTCTTCTGATCCCCAGGCAATGAGGTGTTACAACCTAGTGGCTAGGTTTAGATCTGGCCAGTGCCACGAGGCTAATCGTTTAACCTCCTCGTGCCTCAGTTTCCCCATCTGTAAAAGGAGATAGCAATACTAGGCACCTCACAGGTTGTTGTGAGGAATGAGTAAATTGATGCAAAGGCTGGGACAAAGTAAGTGCTCAGTAAATATCACTACTGTTTCAGGTTGAGTGACAAGTGTCATTTATTTATTTTTCTTTCTTTCTTTTTTTTTTTTTTGAGTTGGAGTCTCACTCTGTCGTCCAGACTGGAGTGCAGTGGCCGCTCCCGGCCACCGCAGCCGCCTCGACCTGCTGGGCTCTGGCGATCCTTCCACCTCAGCCTCCCAAGTAGCTGGAACTACAGGCGTGCACTACCACGCCCGGCTAGTTTTTGATTTATTGTAGAGATGAGGTCTCACCAAGTTGCCCAGGTGGGTCTCGAACCCGCGGGCTCAGGCAATCCACTCACCTCAGCCTCCAAGGCGCGGGATTACAGGCTGAGCCACCGAGCCTGGCTTATTTATTTTTCTTATTTAATGAAAATAATCTATCCAAATTGCTAAAAGCTTACTTACAACCAATTATCCATATAACCATGGATTCTGACATCCAAAGACAAAAGGCAAACTCCCATGAAAAGGTTGTGAAGGTAGCTGCCTGGGTTTGAATGCTGGCTCTGCCCCTAGCTGAGTAACCTGGGGTTCCAGCTACTCGAGACTTCTGTCCTCAGTTTTTCCAGCTGTCAAATAGCCATGATAAGAGTACCCATCTCGGAGGGCGGTGGTGAAATCAGAATGAGTTAATAGATGAGCTTTTAGGACAAGGCCTGGTGCAGAGTAAATGCTGAGGAAGGGCATCACCATCATCATCGTTCTGGGGATCGATGCCCTACCCTCAATGGGTGGGAGGCACTCAAGGGGTTAATTTCAGGGTGGGGAAGGGAGCTGTGGGTTCTGCCGAGTGTGGCCACCAGAGGGAGCAGCCGGACCCGGGCTGGCCCCTCTGAGCCTTGGCGACAGCCCCCACCACACCCTTCGGGGGAGGGGGCTGGCTGGGAGTGGCCAGTGTTGACCTCAACTCCTAATGGCCTCTCCTCCCACGCCCCTCTTGTCCGCGGAGCCATCCGGTCCCCACCCTGGTGACATCCTCCTCGTGCTCTTCGAATGGGGTTTAGTGGGGAATCTGGGGAGGGGGCTGGCGGGAGTGGCCAGGGCGACTCCGGCCCCTGGCGGCCCCTCCCCCGCCCAGGCGGCCATCCAGTCCTTTCTCCAGGGACCTCTTCCTATGACCTCTGACCCCCTCCTCCTTCCCGCCCTGCTCTGCCTGGCGCACCGCGTGCCCAGTGAGCCCCTTTCCCAAACCCTCGGGGAGAAAGGGCGTGGGAGGTGGCAAAGAGGCTACAGGGAGCTGGGAGGGGGGTGAGGGAGAAGAGAAGTGCAGACACCAGGCAGCAGGACACACACACACACACACACACACACACACACACACACACACCAGGCAGAGACCTAAAGACGGAAAGACTGACCAAGACAGAAAGAAAAACAGAAAAAGAGAGGCAGACAGAAAGAGAGGCAAAGACAGAAACAGCGACAGAAAGTGGGAAACACTAACTCACAGTGATAGAAATACCAAGAGAAAGAAAGGCAGAGACAGAAAGAGAAACAGAAAACGAGACGCCAAAGAAGTACAGGAGGAAAGCCGACTGGAAGAAAGACAGAGGAAGAGGAGGAAAAGCCAGGGCAGAGCTTGCCTGCGGGCAGATGGAGGGGTGCCTGGCAGAGATGTAGTGGCCTGGGCCGAGCTGGTTGGGCTGAGAGGAGCAGGTGCCTCCGCCGGGGGCGAGGGGGTGAGGGGCATGGGAGGGGCGGGCATTCTGCTGCTACTGCTGGCCGGGGCCGGGGCGGGGGTGTCCTGGAGACCCCCAAAGGGAAAGTGTCCTCTGCGCTGCTCCTGCTCCAAAGACAGTGCCCTGTGCGAGGGCTCCCCGGACCTGCCCACGAGCTTCTCCCCGACCCTGCTGTCACTGTGAGTGTCCGACCCTCTGCGTCTGCGTGGGGATGGGAGTCCTGCCACCCCAGCGGTTGGGGAGGGATGTGGTGTCCCCAAGGAGAGAGGGACCTGTCAAGATCTTGGGAGGCGGACAGCACAGGATGTTGGGGCGCCTGAAAGGGGACACCTGGGATTTGGAAAGGAGCAGGGGGGACATTCCAGGCCACAGGAGCAGCATTTGGGGCCTGGGAGGAGGAACAGCCAGGGGGTGGGCTGTCAGGGTTCTTGCCAAGCAAGGAGAACGAATGCCAAGCAAGGAGGTAGGGGACGCACACCCAAGCCAGGGTGGCATGCCAGGGTCTTCCAGGCAGCAGAAGGCTCTGGTTCGGGACTGGGGCACTAGGGTGCTTGTCTCCTCACCTGCTGCCCATGTCTCCAGCTCACTTGTCAGGACTGGAGTGACCCAGCTGAAGGCTGGCAGCTTCCTGAAAATTCCATCGCTGCACCTGCTGTGAGTGGGGCCTGGCTGAGCTCGAGGGAGGGGATGGGATGTCCCTGCACATACACCTGTGTGCCCAGGTGTGTGCTTATGCCTGTGTGGGCTGAGGGTGGAAGCCAAGGTTAAAATGTCAGATGGGGACAGCATCTCTGGAAAGACTTCTCTCTTGCTCCCTTGCCAGCCTTTTCACATCCAACACCTTCTCCATGGTCGAAGATGATGCATTTGCGGGCCTGTCCCACCTGCAGTACCTGTGAGTGAGGCCAGAGGAGGGGGGAGGTGGACCCGGGAGGAGAAAAAGGAATCTCTCTGTGGATCCCAGAGTAGGGGGACAGAGGAGTTGTGGCCCTGGGGAGGAGGTGTCTGGACAAGGGCAAAAGGCCTAGCTCTGCGAGCGGGGTCAGGGCTACTGATCAGCTGTGTGATCTCAGACTGCTCACTTCGCCCCTCTGTTTCAAGGACCACGAAGGGCCTGGATAACTAGAGCCCGTTTCTGGCCCTGCCTGACTTGTGGAAGCCCAGGGAGGATACATGCAAAGAAGTCAGAGACAGGAAATGGTTCAGATGAACAGGAAATAGCTCAGGTGGTGGTGATGGTACTGTGAGAATGCTGATGGTGGGTGTATTGATGATGGTGGTGGCGGTGGCGCAATGACGGTATGACAAGCCTGGCATTGGTGTTGGTGATGGTGTTGATGATAATGGTGATGGTGGTGATCCTGCTGCTGACAGGGAAGCGATGGCGTTATGATTACTATTTCTTTGAGTTAGAGTCTCACTCTGTCGCCCAGACTGGAGTGCAGTGGCCGCTCCCGGCCACCGCAGCCTCGACCTGCTGGGCTCCGGTGATCCTTCCGCCTCCGCCTTCCAAGTAGCTGGAACTACAGGCCTGCACTACCATGCCTGGCTAATTTTTGATTTATTGTAGAGATGAGGTCTTGCCAAGTTTCCCAGGTGGGTCTCGAACCCTCGGGCTCAGGCAATCCACTCACTTGGCCTCCCAAAGGCGTGGGATTACAGGCTGAGCCACCGAGCCCGGCTGCGATGGCGTTATTGATAATGATGGAGTGAGATGATGTTGATAAAAACAGCCACCCTGGTGGTGATGATGCTATGGGTGATACTGATGACGCAGTTTTCAGGGCTGGTGTTGGCAATGATTATCAGTGATGGGAGGAGGTTGGCGGTTATGGCGTTGGTGTTGATGTTGGTGATGGTTGTGGTTAAGAGGTTGGTGTTGGTATGAATGGCATTGTTGTTGATACTGGGTTGATGGTGATGGTGACGGTGTTGGTGTTTATGGAAATCATGGCAGTGGTGGTGCTGGTGGTGGGTGAAGTTGTGCGTCTTGGGCATAATGGGGACGCTGTTGATGTTGGCAGTGCTCATGCTGCTGTGTGTGGTAGGGTGGCAGTGTGGGTGATAAGGTGGCAGTCTTTTTGGTGTTGATCACAAAGGTTGTGTTGCTGGTTAGGCTTATCCACGTTGTCAGTGTGGGCTTTGGCAATAATGATATTGGTGTTGGTGTTGATGGTGGGACTGGGTGGTGGTGTTGGTGTTGTGACGATGGTGCCTGTGTTGGTGGTGACAGTGGTAGGGTGTGGTGTTGGGCATAATGACAGGTATTGGTCCTGGGCTGCCCACGGTGATAGAGGCATGGGTGTTGGGGCTGCCAGCACCGGTGTTGGCCATAAGGGGTCATAGTGGCAGTGTTGGTGGTGATGCAGGTGCATGGGGGGTGGTGATGGGAGTGGCAGTGTCCATGGTGAGGCTGACAGTGATCACAGGGCCAGATTCTTGGGATCGTGGGCTGAGACCTTGGTGAGGGGAGGTTTTTGAGTGACTTTCCTGAGATTATTCAAGATGTTGTGGGCATGAATTCGGCACCTCCCGGTGGCCTATGGCTTCTGACAGTTGTGCTCCTCCAAGTTCAGCGGGCTTCCCCTCACCCTACCTTCTCTCCACAGCTTCATCGAGGACAACGAGATTGGCTCCATCTCCAAGAATGCTCTCAGAGGACTTCGCTCACTCACACACCTGTGCGTGCCTCCACTGCCCAGCCCTCCATGACAAGTGTCCACGCGCCACTGAGCAGGGACACAGGGCATGCTGGCAGCTGCTGACGGTTTCTCCTCTCCCCACCCCCAGAAGCCTGGCCAATAACCATCTGGAGGCCCTCCCTAGGTTCCTGTTCCGAGGCCTGGAGACCCTTACGCACGTGTGAGGCTCAAAGGGGATGGGAGGGCAGGGGATTTGGGATGTGGGGAGGGGGAGGGGACATCCGTGCCCGTTTCTGGTTGGCACACGAGTATGGCTGCAAGTTCTTACGCATTTCTCACACCACCTGCGGGGCCCCATCCTGGCTGCTGGCTGGGGAGGGGGCGAGGGGAGCATGGCCTCCAGGGGGTGGAAGCCGGGTCGCAGCCCCTCCCCGGCCTCTTGCCCCAGGGACCTCCGCGGAAACCCGTTCCAGTGTGACTGCCGCGTCCTCTGGCTGCTGCAGTGGATGCCCACCGTGAATGCCAGCGTGGGGACTGGGGCCTGTGCGGGCCCCGCTGCCCTGGCCCACATGCAGCTCCGCCACCTGGACCCCAAGACGTTCAAGTGCAGAGCCATAGGTGGGGGCTTTCCCGGAGGGGCGGGAGGGATAGCAGGGGTTCCCAGAAGAAGGCGGGAGATCTGGGAAATGGCTTCCAGGGCTGAGGAGCTCGCCTCACTCCCTGTCCTGCCATCTCCTGGCAGACCCTGAGCAAGCAGTATCACCTTCCTGAGCCTCAGTTTCTCCATCTGTAAAATGGGGGTAATAAACAGTGACATAGGATTGCTGTGAGAATTCAACGTTGCCCCCGCGCCTGAATTGGGCACAGAGCCTGGGATGGAAGGCCCTTATAAATGTTCACTCTTGTTAATGTAAAATTGGCCACTTGAAAAGTACCTATTGTGCTGAGAACTGCAACATCACCTCGCTAGTATTTACTTTCCTTTTGCTTTTCCGTAAATATACTTTGGTGCCTTTATGGATGCTGGGCAGTGCAGAGGGCCCAGCATGATAAGACTTCTGGACTTGCCAGCCCAGAGCCCATTGTTCGGAGGGAGGAAGACCGATGTCAGACAGTGATAGCCTGGGATGGTCTGGGCCAGGACGGGAGAGCCCAGAGCCAGGGCCAGTGCCACACAGAGCTGGAGGAACAGGAAGGGCTTTCCGAAGGAGTGGACATTTGAGTTCAAGCCTGAAGGGTCTTTACGCAGATGCTATTCATGCAATAATAACAATAATACTTACTCTCTAGGTGTAAGACCTGTTTTTGGTCTGTGGGACTCATAGAACAAGGGCATTTAAATTAGGGATCCCCCTTGATTCAAGTTATTCAACAAGCATTCACTGAAGCCTACACGGTGCCCAGCCCTGTGACAGGTAAGGATCACACTGTGGTGACCAAGATGGCCCTGAGCCCTGGCCTCCTGGGACTTTTAGTCCTGGGGGTTGGAGAGATAGACATGAAATAAAATACTACATAAATAAACTGTGCTACACATTGCGATACAAGGAGTGAAGCAGAGGTTAAGGGGGGATTCCTACGGGGGCCAGAGAAGGCTTCTCTGAAGAGGGCATGCACATCTGGATGTAGCTACATGAAGAACAGAGGGAAGAGAGAGGGAAAAGCCTGAGCTATGGTCCTGCGGCAGCACACAGCTTGCCCTGCTTGAGGATCAAAAGAAGACAGGCGTGGTTCTGGGGAGTGAGCAGAGGGACAGATGAGGCCAGAGGTGGCAGAGGCCTCATCGTGCAAGACTTCCAAAGCCACACAGAGAGGCAAGTAGACTTCATCCTGGGGGCCGTGGGAAGCCATGGCAGGTTTTGAGCAGGAGCTAACGTGATGGCCATTTTTTAAAGATTCCCCCTTGGGTGGTCATTCTTGGTTTGGCTCATTGCTTCAACCCTGGCACCTAGAAGCAGGGCCTGACACGTAGAATGAAATATTACAACCTAGTTGTAATAAACAACTAACAAGCCGGGGGAACCTGGCACACCAATGACCGTGGAAGCTGTGCTGCTATAACAAAGGCTCAAAACATCACGAATTAAGGGCAGAAGGTCTGGAGTGAGCTCTCCAGGTGGATGCGGCAGCGTTGTCCTTGTCTTCCTGGTTGAAGACAGGCTGTGGCATGCCCATGTGTCAGGTTTTGAGAAGGAGGGGAAAGAGAGCCAGCCCAAGACATGCTGTTTTGACACGAGCAAGTGAGGCGAACATTACGCCCTCACATCTGCCCTTGTCCCATTGGGAGTTTGCTCTGCAGCCACCGTAACTTCTGGAAAGGGTGGTGAGTGGGGGTGTAAGGACGACACGGTCTCCGGCTGGGTAGCCTGGAGGTCAGCTCCAAGTCCATTTCCTGGAGGACGGGAAGGATGGGTTTTGTTGGCTAACCGACTGCCCGTGCCACTTGGCCTTTCTTTCCTCATCTGTAAAGTGGGGATGCTGTAAATAAATGAACAAAGATGCTGTTTCCAAGGGATTCTTCGATGACGCCACACAGTTTAGAAAAGAAGGATTACCCTATTGCTGTGAGCTATTACAGCTATAGGTCAAGATTCCATTTCCATGTCCCTATCGGGTGAACACCACGAAGGGCCTTTCTTTCAGAGATGGGTAAACTGAGGCTCAGTGATGAGGATCCTGGGGGTCCCTGGGCCTGCCTGACTCTCTCCTGCCACCCCCAGAGCTGTCCTGGTTCCAGACGGTCGGGGAGTCAGCGCTGGGCGTGGAGCCCTTCTCCTATCAGGGGGAGCCCCACATAATCTTGGCCCAGCCCTTCGCTGGCCGCTGCCTGATCCTCTCCTGGGACTATGGCCTGCAGCGCTTCCAGCCCGAGGAAGAACTGCCAGGTGAGCCCCTTCCCCCTCCTGCTGCGCACAGGGTTGCCTACCTGGCGGGCCTGACCTGTCCCCACCTCCTCCACAGCGCCCTCAGTGGTGTCCTGCAAGCCGTTGGTGCTGGGCCCACGCCTCTTTGTGCTGGCTGCCCGCCTGTGGGGAGGTTCACAGCTCTGGGCCCGGCCCAGCCCTGGCCTGCGCCTGGTCCCCACACAGGCCCTCGCCCCCCGGCGGCTGCTACGGCCCAATGATGCTGAGCTCCTGTGGCTGGACGGGCAGCCCTGCTTCGTGGTGGCTGACGCCTCCAAGGCAGGCAGCACCACGCTGCTGTGCCTCGATGGGCCTGGCTTTTACCCACGCCAGAGCCTGCACGCCTGGCACCGGGACACAGACGCGGAGGCCCTGGAGCTGGATGGCCGGCCCCACCTGCTGCTGGCCTCAGCCTCCCAGCGGCCCGTGCTCTTCCACTGGACTGGTGGCCGCTTTGAGAGGCGCACCGACATCCCCGAGGCCGAGGATGTCTATGCCACGCGTCACTTCCAGGCTGGTGGAGACGTGTTCCTGTGCCTGACCCGCTACATCGGGGACTCCATGGTGAGGCTGGGCCCAGTCCGGTGGGCAGCAGGTGGGGGAGGGAGCAAAAGCCAGGCCTGAGGCTGCACTTGACTCCCATTGAGGGCTGGCTTTTTAACACCAGCCCCCCCGTGTGGGCTGGACTCTCAGCACTGATCCTATCTTGCTCATTCTCTAAACTCTGACTCCTAGCCTTCATACTGACCTTTAAACGATGATGCCATCCCAACACGGGTGCCAAGACTGTGACCCCTCAAGGCTGACTGACTCTAAATGACTCCCTGTCCCCCAGTATTGACCCTGGCCCCAAGATTCTGATTCTACCCCGGACGCTGGCTCAGTAACTCTGATGCATGCCAGGACTTGATGGGCATGCCAGCTATGCCCATCCCGCCCTGACACTGAAGCCCCGAGGCTGACACTGATGTTAAGCTCTGCGTGCTGTCTTTCTGAACCTGGAAGAGCCCGCCTCTGACTCAGGTGTTCACAGGGTCTCTGTGTAGGGAACAGACAGTGACGACAGGGACAGCAGCCCCCACACCGGGGAGGAGGCCGCAGCCATGGTCCAGGTAGGAAGAGAGGAGGCTGGGCCAGAGTAGGGCCAGAGGAGGTGGGAGAAATGTCCAGCTCTGGTAGGGACAGTGCTGAGAGACCAGCCCACAGTGGGTGGCTGGTGATAAAAAGCCAGCCCTCGATGGGAGTTAATTGCAGTCTCAAGCCTGGCTTGTGCTACCCCCTCCAAGGCCCATTGCTAACTGCTTCTATGTAGGATGTGAGCTTGAGAGAAAGGTCAAGCAGAGCTCTGAGTGTGTGGTCTGAGCAGCTGGGTGGTGACATTTATGAAGATAACACTCAGGAATTGGGGGACCTACATGCTTCTGTTTCCCAGCTACTCAAGGGTCTCCCGAGCCTCCCGGGACCGCAGGCCTTCACTGGGCTCCCCTCCCCACAGGTCATGCGCTGGGACGGCTCCATGTTTCGCCTGTTGCAGAAGCTTCCTTCGCGAGGCGCCCACGTCTTCCAGCCACTGCTCATTGCCAGGGACCAGCTGGCGATCCTGGGCAGCGACTTCGCCTTCAGCCAGGTGTTCCGCCTTGAGCCTGAGAAGGGGCTCCTGGAGCCGCTGCAGGAGCTGGGACCCCCAGCCCTGGTGGCCCCCCGTGCTTTTAGCCACATCACCATGGCCGGACGACGCTTCCTCTTCGCCGCTTGCTTTAAGGGTCCCACTCAGATCTACCAGCATCACGAGTTAGACCTCAGTGCCTGAGACCGTGCAGGACCCCGAAGAGGCTGGGGAGCTGTCGTGGGGAGTCTTGGGACCCTGGATGCACCGCCCCTGGCTGGCCTGCCGGGCCGGCTTGGGGTGCTGGGTGGTCTTAAGAGATACTGATCACAGGCCAAGTTCTGCAGCCAGAGTTCTAGCCCTTAGCCCCCTTCTTGGAGGATCCGGGCCCAAGGGAGGGGCGGGGAGAACGGAAGTTCCCAGCCTACTGTCCTTCCAGCCTGAAGCAACATCGTGGCTGGGGCAGACGGCCCTCATCAAAGGCGATTTGGGGGCTCAGACTGGGGGACCGCACGGAGCGGGAACACAGAGGTCACGATGGGGGGCCCGTGCCGAGCTCCGCGAGGTACGGAAGCTCCGCCCTCAACCCACTCCCACCCTGCCCGCTCCCGATGAAAGTGCCGAGGAGCCGACAGCGTTCGTCCCCCCGAACTCCCCGCGGCCAATCGCTGCCCCGGCGGAGCGCCCCGCCTCCCTGCCGTCTCCGCCTCCGGGCGGGTCTCCGCGCCCGGCTCGCCTCCCGCCCCGGCGGCGTGTGCGCATGCGTGCTGCGGAGCGCGGCCGGGCGTTGTCCCCCTTGCGCGTGCGCGGGGCGGGCGGTGGGCGAGCGGGGGGTGTCTCTGGAGGCCCCGGGTACTCCCCCGGGTGGGCGATCAGAGCAAGGACAGAAAATGTCTGAGTTCAATAAAGGCGCTGTGTACCCGCCCCACCCGTTGTTGGGGGTCATTGGGAGAGGGTGTCCCGTGAACAGCACAGGGGCAGGGGTGAGGGGGAACGGGGGGTGGTGTCCCTGCAGCGGTGCTCTGGAGGGGAGGAGGTCCCAGGGGGTCCCAGTGGAGCGATCTGGCTGCTTGTGGGGGCTACTGCAGGGTCTCAGAGGGTGGGCCTGCGTTATGGAGAGCCTCGTGGGATGTTTCAGGGATAAAGGACGTGATGGGGGAACAGGCCACGAGGGTATTGTGAGTCTCTTTTTGGGGTCATGTCTCGGGACATTGGAAGAGATATTTTTGGGTGTTTTGAAGCGTCTTAGGAATGTGTGGGGTAGTTTTGGGGAACATTTTGGATGCCTTTTTGGGTATCAGGGAGTCTCAAGGGAGTTTGAGGCTTGTTGGAGGTTCGCACACCATGTGGTCATTATATATTATTAGGGGCATCGTGGGGAATTGTGTAAAGGTCCAACAGGAACATCTGGACGTTTAGAAGGGTCTCATAATAAAGTGGAGTCTCAGGGATGAATGAGCTGGTCGTAGGGGCTTACTATTATAATAATTAACTATCTGAACACTTCCATCATGGTAGGATGAGGTTACATCCTAGTTTTCCTGGGGTGGTCCCAGTGTCCACCCAGTGTGTCCCCCCAATTCCATCTTGTTAGAGTTCTCTTTCACCCTCAAAAGCATCCCCCACTTGACCACTAGAAAATCTTACACTGCACACGAGGCTCTCATGGCCGTGGAGGCAGAGGGCAGGGCCAGTGCCATCCACCAAGCCATGAGGGAGCAGGCCCATGGGCTTTTCTCAACAAGGAGGTTCAACTGCCAGCTTTGGTGCCAGTCCCAAGTGCATGTCCGCCTTCCCCTGATCGCTCCGAGCCCCACCCCATTGAACACATAGGGAGTCTTGAGGCTGCTTGGGCAGGAGGCAAGGCCATTTTAGATTAAGAATTGAACAAAGAAATCCTCCCCTGAAAGGTGAGCTGAAGCCTTGGCAAGGCAGTCCGAGGACAGGAGGGAGAATTCCATCCTGGAGTTCAGGCTCTTGAGGCTGGGGACAGAAAGGCTCTCCGTGTTCTTTCCGCTGGTCTGTCCTCAGCAGTTATGGGCCGAGCCTGGGAGAGGTGATAGGGTCAGTGTGGGAGGGTGGATTTCCGCCTTTCTTTCCAGTGTGCATATGTACACACACACACACACACACACACACACACACACACACACACACACACACACACACACACACACACACACACTGCTCATTTCCCATGTTCCCCTCAGCCCCATGCCGTCCCTGTCTCACCTGGGGTGATGAGAGGTGGCGCATCCCCTGGACGGTGACTAAGGGGACAAAAGTGGTGAGATCTGTGTCCACCCACATTTGTCACCTCCCATAGTGCTAGAGCAGTCTCAGTTTGCCCAGACATCTCTTCCTGGCTATTTTTCCATTACAGCGTTGTACAATCCCAGGGACCAAAGCGTTTCAGGATTTGGGGCCCTCTGGAGATTATCAACTATAAATAATAAACTTGGGAAATCTTAGTGACAGGAACTCCTAAGGTCAGAGCTTGGAGGCCTGTCCTCCTTCCGGGAGAGAGAGCTCTTTCGCTGAGAAGCGTCTTAGCCAGCATCAGGCAGACATGCTGGAAACCCCTCTTACCTGGGCTTCTGGCTGAACTTGCATTTGCATTTCCCGCCTGTTGGGGGAGAGGTGAGTGTTCAAGGGAGGGGACCCCAGCCCCGCCCTGCCCACTCCTGCCAGCTCCTCCACTCACTCATAAGAACGATGATGCCGATGGCGCACAGCACCCCTGCGCAAATGAGCCCACCGACCCGGAGGCTGTGCCAGTCTAGGAGGAAAACAGAGGGGACCGCAATGCCAGCCTGTGTCCTCCCCACCTGTCCCCCCCGCCACTTGATAAGTACATCTTCAGCACCTCCGATGTGCCGGGCACTGAGGCTCAGCAGCTGGAGAACAGACACAATCCCACGTGCACACATTCTAGTTCACACACAAGCAAACAAGATCATTCATGTAGGGTCAGGTGCAGAAAGCGGTCTGAAGAAAAATAAGCAGGGGAGAGTCAGAGGGCAGCTCTTTTAGAAAGAGTGGTCAGGGAGGGCTTCTCTGGAGAGGCCACATGGGAGCAGTGGCCTGAGGGAGGCAGAGGGCGAGCCGTGTGTATATAAGGAGGTGTTCCAGGCAGGCGCTAGCAAGTGCAAGGGGCCGGAGGCCACTAGTGAGTCTGCCATGTCTGAGGAGCAGCAGAGGCCTGTGTGGTTGGAGCAGGAGGAGCCTGGAGAAGGTGAGAGCAGAGAAGAGAGGGAGCAGATCAGTGGAACCAGGAGGCCACATGAGGAGTTTAGTGGAATAGCTCACCTCCTCCAGGAAGTTTTCTCAAGTCAGCCCTTCTCCCAGCCAGCTAACTTGAACCAGACAATGGCTTCTTGTGAACTGTCCTCACTTCCTGCATGTGACTATCTTGCTGGAATATAACCTCCCCAAAGACCAGGTAGCCATCTCTTGTTTTAATCCATTGTGTTTACTGTTCAGTGCCCCGATGTCCCTTCCTGTCCTTGCCCTGTGTCACGCATCAGACCCTCATCCAATCCTGTGTGGGACCCTTGCCACGAAGTAGTATGTGGGGTTGGGGAGAGGGTAAGTAGGGGTGCAAGCTCTCACCATAGTAGAAAGGACTGTTTTTATCTGCAAGGAAAGAAACAAGAACATGAATCCAGGGCCACAGCCAGGAGGTGGAGGTTCCAGAGGAGAATCTGAGGGTGGGACAAGTGAAAGAGTCCTGTCTGACTCACCTTCTGGGTCGTTGGCATCCAGGGCAGGCAGGCCTGGCAGGGAGAAGCAGGTAGGAGAGGAGATGGTGATGCAGCCTGGGCAGAGCCCTTGGGCAGGGCCTGTGGAGCCTTGGGGGCCTTGGGAGAGGCTCCCCCAAGAAGGGACAGGGGTCCTGCCCCAGACCTGCTGCCTCGGCATGTCCTATCAGAGACATGGACTATCCTACTCAGCTCCACACCTTTGAGTCACAACAGCGTTTTGCCACCTGAAATTGGATCTAATCTGGGAGGCCTTTGATCTCATGTTTCCAGACGTGGTGAATCCATGCCTCCTTGCAGAAACGTGGGGGCTTTTCTTGCCAAGATGACAGACGGTTTCAGTTCTTAGAGCCCTATTTCCCCAAATCCAGACATTCGCATCATCTGTCTTACCAATTTCGCCATATTCATACCCACCTGTCCTAGGGTTTGCTCACTATGCCCCTTTAAAGTGACTCACTATTGTCAACTTAAATGCATTTTATTTAAAACAGTGGCACTGGGCTGGACGGATCCTAGTCTTACCCAATGTAACGGATAGAAAGAAACACCATGAAAGCAAAGGACTAGGATTAAATTCTGGCCAGAAGCACTGGGCTGCCTTAGCTCTGGGCTTAAACTCTAATAAAGGCAGATTAATACTTTTTAATTACATTTGAAGCACAAACGCACGGTGCTTACTCTGTTCTAATCTTTTCAAATATTCACTCATTTAATCCTCACAATGACTCCCTGTGAGTAGGTGCTATTATTCTTATTTTTACAGGTGGGGAAACAGAGGCACAGAAGGTTTTGGTAACTTCCTGCATAGCCACTAGGTTCCCTGTCACCCCTCCTAACAAAGTGTCGGGAGGTATTAAAGACACAGTGGCACTGGACTGAGCCCTGTCCTTGACGCCCTCAGATTTCCAAGAGGACGGGGAAGATGGTGACTCTTCAGCCATGGGAGCCGCTGTTGTAAGAAGTCCTGTCCTTGTGTGTCCCTGGAAATCACAGGTGTGGCACTTCTTATCCTCAAGGAGATGCTGTCCTAATAGTCACCACCTCCCAGGGGGGGCAGAAAAGCACACGAGACAGATACAAGGCCTGGCCACCACCCAACTGGGGGTCCAGGGGAAAAGGCCGCTGGGGGGATGGGAACTCACCTGCCAGGAGCATGAACAGGCTCAGGGTCACCTCCTGCATGTCAGAGTGCTAGCCTAGAGGGGCCAAGGCAGGTCCAGGGTTAGCAGGGCCACCAGGATGCCAGGCCTTGTGCCTCTGCTTCCCACTGCCCTCCTCTCCTGCCGGCCAGCCAGGGTACCCAGCTCAGCGGGGGCAGGAAGGCTGGCATTGAGACTCTCTAGGCCAAGAGATAAGGAGGAGCAAAGTGGGGTGGGGGCTGGGTGACAACTCAGACCTGACAAGGGAGCAGCTGTTACCACGCACCAATGTGGACTTTAAGCTTTAAGTGAATTGTCCGGTAGCCAGAGGGGTGGGGGCTGCCTGCTGTTATCCTCACCTGACAGATGAGGAAACTGAGGCTCTTGAGAGGCAAAAGTAGGTGCCAGGGTCACCTGGACAGAAAGCAGGACTTAAACTGGTCTGGTGCCCCAGCAGCTCTTCCTGACTCGGGACTGTCAGGGCCTCAGGGTGTTTAGGAAATGGGGTGTTGGGAGCGAGGTGGCAAGAAGCCAGCTTCCCTGGAGTGTCTCCCATCGAAGGCTCAGGGCCTGCCTGGCCCTGGCCCACTGTGCAGACTGCAGGCTGGGGACTGAGTGGGCTCCTCTGGACAGGGTCGGGGGAGGAGACCACTGCAGGCTGTGGTGGGGGGCAGAGGGTGGCCGCAGGTGGTCCTGGACCTGGCTGCAGCCCCAGCTCCATCTCTGCCCCTCTGCCCCTCAGCCTCACCCGGCCCTCCCCACCCCAGCCC